TGCTGGTTGTGGAGCCTGAACTCTGGGCTGGGCGCTGTCCCTCAGCTCTTCAGCTCAAGGCTAGCACTCTACCACTTGAGCCACAGTGCCACTTTGGGCTTTTGTTCTGCTTATGTGGTGCTGAGGAATCGAACCCAGGGCCTCATGCATGCAAGGCAAGTATTCTACCACTGAGCCACCTTCCCAGCCCTCCATGAGACTCTTATCTTCAATAAACCACCAGAAAACTGGAAGTGGTGCTGTGGCTCAAGTGGTAGAGCGCTAACCTTGAGCTGAAGAGCTGAGGAACAGTGCCCAGGCTCAGAGTTCAAGCCCCACAACTAACAAAAATAATAAAAACAAAAACAACTCCCCCGCCAAACCCACAAAAACCCTAGAGGAGGCGGGCACTAGTAACTCACACCTGTAATCCTAGCTACTTAGGAAGCTGAGATCTGAGAATTGCAGTTTAAAACCAGCCTGGATAGAAAAGTTCATGAGACTCTTATTTCCAGTTAACCACCAGAAAATTGAAGGGCAGTTGTGGCTCAAATTGGTAGAGCAAGCACTAGCCTTGAACAAAAGAGCTCAGGGAAAGCAACCAGGCTCTGAGTTCAAGCCAAATGACTGACCAAAAACAAAACAAAAAACAAAAGAAGCAACAACAACAACAACAAAATCCAAGCTCTTAAGCCAGTCACTGGTGGCCCACACTGGTAATCCTAGCTATTCAGGAGGCTGAAATCTGAGAATTGTGGCTCAAAGCCAGCACAAGCAAAAAAGTCTGTAAGACTCTTATCTCCAATTAAGCATTAAAAAGAAAAGGCTGGAATTGGAACTGTGGCTCAAGTGGCAGAGTGCTAGCTTTGAGGAAGAAATCTCAGGGATAGTACCTAGGTTCTGAGTTCAAGTCTCAGTACTGGCACAATAAATAGACAAATAGATAAAAATAAAAAACTTCTAAAGGACAGGGTTTAGGTTTCTGGTTGTTGAACACATGGTATACCTAGAGAGAACATGGAAGCCGCACATTCCTTCTCATCTACCTATGCATCTCTTCTTCCGTGTACTTGGTAGTAAAATGGAGTAGTTGGTAAAGTGTTTCCCTGAGTTCAATGCGCTGCTCTAGTGAATTAATCAAACCTGAGGAAGGGATTGTGAAAACCCCAACTTGCCATTGGTCAGAGTGGAGGTCCCAAGCTGGGACTTGAGACTAGCAGTTGAAGGGGGACAGACTCAGGGGACTGAAGCCTTCACCTGGCGGGTCTGGTGTCTTCTGGTAGATAGTGTCACAATGGCGTTGTATTACTGTACGTTCAAGTTTCCAATATATAATTGGTTGCTGGCAGAGAGAAATCCCCTCCCCATCACAATGCAACATCTTGATTTTGGTGACCAGAGATGAAATGTTTCATGAAACATGTGACAATAAGAAAGCCTTTTTTTCCTCAGATAATTTATAAAGCACAGTCTTGGGCTGGGGATATAGCTTAGGGCCAGAACTTGTCTAGCATATATAAGGCTTTTGGTTTGCTACCTAGCATCACCAATAAATAAATAAAGGAAGAAAGAAAGAAATGCCATCTAATTGTAAATATCTCCTACTGTATGTAAGAGTCAGAGAAGAGATCACAGTAAATTCCTATGTGAGAGACACTGAGAATTCCATAGCTGCAAAGGAGACACAGCCCAGCTTCTAAGGAGTTTGCAGTCCCATATGGAAGCTAAGGACGCCAGGTGTTTGCTAGAAGAGCCTAGAATCCAACTCGTCTGTCATGGTGTGCGTCTGTCATGGTGTGTGTTTGTGGGAGAGTGTGAAATGGAGTGGGGATTGCTTAGTGAAACAGATATGAGATATGAGAATTGGAAACAAATACTAGAAGAAGCAACACTTACTCTTTACCCCTGTCAAGGCAGGAATATGATAGTAATAAAATGGCAATTCAGGGGCACTGGCAGCCACCTCCTTTAGGAAATTAACCAGGACATCTGAAAGAACAAAAGGAAAAGTCATGGTGTGACCAGGTGTATAAAATAGTGGCTTTCCTTAAAAAAAGAAAACCATCCAATAAAGTGTAACCACTCTTATCATCCCTCATATGGCCACTGCAATGTCTTTGAAAGTCATTTCATTTGAAGACGAGGTTTTCTTGCTATAGACAGCTATATAAGGTGAATATTTTCCTACTGTAGCAGACTATTACAAATTGTTGGTGGGGGTACATGTTAAGTGCATAGTTAGTCTGCTCAAGGTCCTGGGTTTGATCCCAACAACAACGACAACAACAACAACAAACAAACACACACACACACACACAAATCATGCACTAAAAAGCTCTCAAGGCTAGGACTCTTCCTTTGAGCCATATGCCACTGCCAGCCTTTTCTGTTTACATGGTACTGAGGAACTGAACCTAGGGTTTCATGCATGATAGGCAAACACTCTACCACCAAGCCACACTCCCATCCCTGAAGATCTTTTTAAACAAAGTTTTAGCAGGCTGGGCACCAGAGGCTCATGCCTGCAATCTTTTATTTATTTATTTATTTATTTATGTCAGTCATGGGGCTTGAACGCTGGGCCTGGGCGCTGTTCCTCAGCTCTTCTTCAGTTCAAGGCTAGTGCTCCACCACAATGCCATTTCCAGCCTTTTATGCTTATGTGGTGCTAAGGAATCAAACCCAGGGCCTCATGCATGTGAGGCAAGCACTCTACTGCTGAGCCACCTTCCCAGGCCCTATGCCTGCAATCTTACCTACTCAGAAGGCTGAGATCTGAAGATTGCAGTTTGAAGCCAGCTGGGGCAGGAAAGTCTGTGAGACTCATCTCCAATAAACTATTCAGAAAAGACCAGAAGTGGCACTGTGGCTCAAGTGATAGAGCGCTAGTGTTGAGCATGAGAAGCTCAGAAACAGTGCCCACACCCTGAGTTCAAGCCCCCGGACCAAAAAAAAAGTTTTAGTGGGGTTGGAGCTTAGTTGGTAGAGCACTAGCCTGTGCAAAAGTATCAGGTACTGAGTATGAGTCCTGGTCTTGACAAAAAAAAAAAAAAAGAAGTTTTAGAAAAACTGTTCATGTAAAAATTTGTAAACCACATGAAAAATATTTGTAAAACCATATGAAAAATATTGTTAAAGTCTTCATTATAAATGTCCAAATTAGCAATATTTCACTTACCTACATTAAATATTTCCTATCAACAGAAGGCAATATGATTTCAAGCAAAAATTCATTTGGCAATGGCTTTAATTATGTATACAGATAGAAAGCTACAAGTGGAGTTTTTGGCTCAAGTGGTAGACTGCTAGCCTTGAGCAAAAAAGCTAAGGGAGATTGCTTAGTTCCAGAGTTCAAGCTCTAGTACTAGCACAAAAGGAAAAAAAAAAAAAGAGGACATGGAATTTCAAAATGCTCTTCATATATACTTCTCTTTTTAAAGAAAAATAATTCCATACTTTGACATGTGGCCCAGAAACCCTATGTAACTGATTAGACCAGGAGGCTACACCCAACCCAAATACAGGCACTTGGCAATCAGAATTACATAGATGATCCAGTTAGATTACCTGGCAAAAAGAATTGAAGTGCTAATTTAATGCAATCTCTGTTATGGATCGAGGAGAGCAAATATTCCAGGGATGTACTGTGTCTTAAAACCTTCATGCCTCTAGCTTAGTCCTTTATGAATTGAACATCAATATTTTCTTTTTTTTTCTTTTTGGGTCCGGTCGTGGGGCCTGAACTCTGGGCCTGGGCGCTGTCCCTCAGCTCTTCAGCTCAAGGCTAGAGCTCTAGCTCTTGAGCCACAGCGCCACTTCCGGCTTTTTTTCTTTTTGCTTATGTGGTGCTGGGGAAATCGAACCCAGGGCCTCATGCATGCAAGGCAAGCGCTCTACCACTGAGCCACCTTCCCAGCCCCAACATCAATATTTTCAATGGAAGCAAGAAGCAGGCAGTGTGAGGCACTGTGCACTTGGAGCCAGCTCTTACCTTTGCTCCATGGCTTGAGAAAGAAAGGTGCAATGACAGCAATGCCATCGGCTCCTATTTCTGCAGCATGTCGGGCCTGTAGAAGAAGAAAGACCACATTACAGTACCCATTTACTTTTTCTTTAAAACCAGTGGCTTTTAACTGTTTCTGCCTTTGCCTTTTGCTCCACCTAACCTGCTAATCAATTCCTAAACCTAGAGTAATCTAATTATTTGTGTGCTTGCTCCTATGTTCTAGGTAGAGTGTATCTAGAGAAAGTTTACCAATTTGGTGCCAAGTGGTGGGATGATAAATTTCTAACTAAAAACTAGAAAAAACAATTGGTTTGTAGCTTCATGGAACAATTCTGCTGTAATTCAACTTTCTTCCCCTGCTTTAAGGCAGCAATTACCAATGACTTCTTTCCCTTACTTCCAATCCCTTCTGTCCAGCAGAGCGCTTTTGCTTTCTACCTCAGAAAGAAAACAGAAGTTGGCTCAAATTCTGCTCTTTATCTACAAACTCAGCTGCATCTTGGAGGAAGGTCTCCTGCTCTGCAGGGGTCACCACTTTGATTTCTGCTTGTCAACAGTGATTTCCTGAGGTCACACACCTCCTCTAGTCAGTATCACCTACATACCAAATATATCCATGACAATACTAATTTCAGCAGAAAAATGGAGGTCCCCTGAGTCATGGCTCTCAGATGGGTCTACATACCAGTTCTTGTGACTCCTTCAAGCTCAGTGCCCCTACGTGAATCACCACCTGGTCCAACCTGCAAAAGAGAAGCATTGTAAGTTGTCTAAAGTTTAGAGGACATTGGAAGGCAGCACCAGCCTTGTCTGTGCTTGTTTAAGCAGTTAACTGATGCCTTATTCATCTCAAGATTAATAAGTTTTGCTGTGATTGATCTTAAATGAATCAATTAAAGGGTATATGATAATATTTTGCCAAATAAAAATATTTAATATACAAATAACAAAAAAATCAAGACATTGCCCGGCGCTGGTGGCTCATGCCTGTAATCCTAGCTACTCAGGAGGCTGAGATCTGAGGATCGTGGTTCAAAGCCAGCCCGGGCAAGAGAGACTGTGAGACTCCTATCTCCAATAAACCACCAGAAAACTGGAAGTGGCGCTGTAGCTCAAGTGGTAGAGCGCTCGCCTTGAGCTGAAGAGCTGAGGGACAGTGCCCAGGCCCAGAGTTCAAGCCCCATGACCGACCAAAAAAAAAAAAAAATCAAGACATTGTATTGTAAGTGCAAACACTAAAAAGATACAGTGGTATTATGCATAAACGTATCTGGCTTGAATTAGAAAATTAAAATTAAATTGTCTCTTTCTTCTCACTTTATGAAACGTCTCCATTTTGCTGCTGCTGTTGACTGTGACTACCTGATGAGAAGTGCTTGGGGAATTATAAGCTGGCAGTGCATTTAATGTCATGTATTCATTCAATGGTTATGTGGAAAGAGAATTTTTGTACCCCAGCCAGGATTCTATCAGAATAGAATAATAGAATCTCCTATCCAAAGTTATATACACTTCTCTCAGAAAGCTTAGAAATAGAACTTTTTTCTAATCAAGAGCTTCATTATCAAAGAAAAGATAGGAGCTAGAAATGTGAACAAAAGGGCTTTAGCAGGCTCAAATAGGCAGGTGTAAGGAACATGAGATCAGCTTCCAGGAGGTATTCTGTATAAATACTCCAGACCTTAGTCTAGCAAAAACAGTGGTCTTTTCTATCCTCTTGAAGATAATAATAGGTTTAGGATTGCTCCCCCATACTTAATCACAACAAACTGAGGTAGAAAGAATAAGTTAAGAGAAGCTTGGCTGAAGGCTGGGAATGTGGCTTAGTTATAGAGTGCTTGCCTAGCACGCATGAAGCCCTGGGGTTGATTATTCAGTACCACATAAGCAGAAAAAGCTAAAGTGGTGCTGTGGCTCAAGTGGTAGAGTGCTAGTCTTGAGTAATAGAAGCTTAGGGACAGTGCCAGATCCTGAGTTCAAGCTGCAGGACTGGCAAAGAGAGAGAAAGAGAGAGAGAGAAGTTTAGTTGGGCACAGTGGCTCAAGCCTATAACCCTAGCTATTTGGGAAGCAGAAACAGTGGTAGGATCTTGGTTCAAGGCCAGTTTTGGGGAAAAGAAGTTCTCAAGACTCCATCTCAGCCAATGGTGGGTGGGGCAGCATACATCTGTTATATTCTCTTGGTGACTTGAGGAAGCATAAAGAACAGAACGTAGCCCAAGCGAGCATATGCAGAAAGGGAGAAGCTCCTAGCTCAAAAAAACAAAAACAAAACAGTACAATAAAGGGCTGGCTGGAAGTGTGGCTCAAGTAGTATAGCACCAAGCAAGAAGTCCTGATTTCAACCCCAGTACTGCCAGAGAAAGAGACATACAGGCTTAAGAAGTTTAAGACTGGGTCTTAAACTAGTGGAATAATCTCATTATATGTTATCTTCTCTAAAGACTATAGAGACTCCTGTTCAGAAATTTTCCACAATTTTTATGGTGCCAAAGACTTCACCCTTCCTTTAAAACATTTTCTATTAGTTTTAAAAGCTGTGGGGCACGGGGAACCTAGAGGAGACTGATGATTCTTATTGAGAAGAGGTGAAAGAATGAGCTAACTATGCAGTAAGTGGGAAAGCTGAGATGTTTATTCTTAGCCTCCTCTTTTCATACATTGCCCCAGGTTTTTAATGTTTGGACTGAACACCTGACCAAAAACTAACTGAAAGCTGATGGATCACTTGGAAATGCTTTGGGACAGGCTTGGCATATGATTTTCGAGTATTTAAGGTGCTTGGAAGCCATTTAAAGATCCCTAAGGAGCCGGGCGCTGGTGGCTCATGCCTGTAATCCTAGCGACTCAGGAGGTTGAGATCTGAGGATCTTGGTTCAAAGCCAGCCTGGGCAGGAAAGTCCGTGAGACTCTTATCTCCAATTAAACACCAGAAAAAACGGAAATGGCGCTGTGGCTCAGGCAGTAGAACACTTGCCTTGAGATGAAGAGCACAGGGACAGCGCCTAAGCCCAAGCCCAGAGTTCAAGCCCCACAACTGACCCCCCCCCCAAATCTAATGTAAATCCCCTGTTGGCCTGAAACAGAGACTGTCAAGGTAAAACCCAGGCCTTCTTGGGGATCTTTTATTTAATTATTTTTTTTTGTCAGTTGTAGGACTTGAACTCTGGGCTTGGGCACTGTCCCTGCACTCTTCAGCTCAAAGTGAGTGCTCGACCGCTTGAGCCACAGCGCCACTTTGGTTTTCTGGTGGTTAATTGTAGATAAGAGTCTCAAGGATTATCCTGCCTGGGCTGGCTTTGAACCGAGATCCTCAGATCTTAGCCTCCTGAGTAGCTAGGATTACAAGTGTGAACCACTGGTGCCCGGCTTACCTCAGATCTTTCGCTTCCACCTAAACCAGTAACTATCATCACTTTCTCCATGTTTACCCATTTATCAGAACAGGCATCAACATCAACATTACTTGCACAACAGCCTGAGGGCAGAGACTAATCTCAGGGGCTCAGCATTGTACCAGAATCGTGAAGAAATGGATCCTGTACATGGATAAGAGGGTTTCCCATTTCCAAATGGGAGCAGGGGTGCGGGTGCGTGGCAAATGGGCTGCCCCCTTTTCGTTACACGGTGCTGAGAGCCTCAGGGCCTTGGCTCATCTTCCCACTCTTGATGACACAGTGTATTTCATCTCTGCAGAGCCACTCACTTGTTCCTCCCTTGCGTCACCCACTCCTCTGCAACCAGGCGACGTTCAGACATGCTCAGGGACAGGCCTTCTCCTGTTGTGCCATTCACTGTTTCAAACCAACAATCAGTCAGTCAGTGGGACTGGCCAATGGTGTTTGCTCTCCAACCCCAACTCTCGAGGTGCAGTGCCCTAAATCCCTGCCCGAGAAGGATTTTATTTTGTACCACTCATTTACTTTTGTAGGCTCAGAGAAGGAGAGGTGTTTGAGCTGTTGGCAGAAGAGGTCAGGCACCCAGCAGTCAGTCACTAACCCCCTCTCCACAGCAAAACAGAAATCATTCTTGTTTACAGAAGAAAACATGAAGTCAGAAACACCAAATAAGTTAAGTGAGTTCACAGCTGTGTTTCCTTGGAAGAAAAATCCACTCAAGGAGTAGCGTGCTCCTAATCCCACACAAAGGCTAGTTCATCCACTAGTAGATATTGTTCTTAGGCTTAAAATCTTCAAGATCTGATTTTGTTTTTTGATCTATGGTCTTAATATACAGCCCAAGCTGTTTAGAACTTGACTATATAGCACAGGCTGGTCTTGACCTTGTGACTACTCAAGTGAAGGGATTATAAGCATGTGCCACTGTATGTGGCCCGATTTTTAAATTAAGAAAAAATTCATTTTTTTTTTTTTACTATTTTTGAAATGAATGGGCAAAATGCTTGCCCTATGATTTCCTTATGCTCTGCATTTAGAGTATTTCTTTCATTCACAATTTGAAAAAGCGCAGATGGGGACAGACTAGAGGCCATTCTGAAGAGTGCTAAGGAGAGTTGTTACATAAGAAGGCTTCACTGTTATTCAACACTTCTTGGTCAAGTGACCTGACAAAAAGGCTGTATCTGAGGCATAGATTTGTCATCTGTAAATGATGAAAAGAATACCAGCACACCACCAAATGAAATGATTCCTTGGAGGGGCACTATTGATTTAACACTGGGAAATATATAAATGCACAGCTTTTCGTTAGCCTATCATGGCTCCATGAGATCTGCAATATGATACGCTGGTCAGAAAGCAGGTAAGATCTACCTTTCAAAGATGGTGCTTAGAGACAGAGGAATCTCAAGATACTTACCAAAAATGTTCTTCACTCCCTGTTCTTTCACAAGGTAGTCTACGTATTGGCCAATTACAGAAAAGTTGATTTCTCTAAAAGGCATGAAAAAGAGAGGAGAGCATTAATTCAACCAATTCCCAGGTCTATAGGCTGTGTTCTCTCTCATGGGGAGTGGGGGAAATACTGAGGCTTGAACTCAGGGCCTGGGTGCTGTCTCTGAGCTTTTACTGTTCAAGGCTAGTGCTCTTATCACTTGAGCCATAGCTCTGCTTTCAGCCTTTTGGTGGTTTACTGGAGATAAGAGTCTCATACTCGCTGGGCGCTGGTGGCTCACGCTTGTAATCCTAGGTACTCAGGAGGCTGAGATCTGAGAATCGCGGTTCAAAGCCAGCCCGGGCAGGAGAGACCGTGAGACTCCTATCTCCAATAAACCACCAGAAAACCGGAAGTGGC